GGGTTTTACTTCCATCAGCAGAGACAAAATTCAGGTTCTACCTAAAGTGATGAAACTTCCTTTCTTAGGACGATTATAAAGAAAAGGTGACTGAATGAAATCTGAGTTACAGGCTAAGGGCAGGCAGTTGGATTTTTTATAACTGCTTCCTATGCTCCATTTTATGGAACCTGCAGTTTTGTCATCTCCCAAATACGTTACTTTTCTTTGGGTGGGCCTGTATGTGCCTTGTGCCAGGGATTACAGCTGGAAACAAGAGTGTGTGTGGTTACAGTGTGCCCACATATGTGAACACAAATCCAGCAGATCATAGATTTCCATACATATACATTTATTTATTTAACAAGATAGCACAGTTGGTTAAATGAAACATGCTGTGCCTAAAGCATTCCAAACTTTTGCTTGATTTTCTTCCCTTTAGCATGTATTTCCTGCTACTTCAGTAGACAGCATCAAGCGTATATAATTACTAATTAAATTCTTACAACAATAATAAAACTATGTCCTTAAGGATGCAACAGATAAACACTGATATGCAAACAGACTACATCACCAGTGACATCTTATTTCTAGACCAGCTTGGAGGAAGAAAATCTTCCCCAAAACAACCATATCACATCAAAGCAGTACACAACTCAAGATGTTCCCCTGGCAGGAAAACGAAGCAGGCGAAGTTTCTGAGCACGGAGAGCTGTCATGTTAAAGCCCCAAGCAATGGGTTTTAAAGACAGTGGGCACCTCTGGTTGCAATTTCACTGTTGAATTTGGAAGTCTCCAATGACTTCAGCATTCAACTGCCTCTCTAACAACACATTAGGTTTTCTGATGATCTGGCTATACAAGTTCCCTTGAAATTATATAATCATTGCAGAGTCTATCACAAGTTAAATTAAGGAAAACAACAGCCATTTAAAAAGAACTTCTTTAAAAAGTTAATAAAGCATTTGCTGTTAAACAGGCTGAGTTCTGCCATTCCTGCAAGCTAAACTCCTTCACACCTATGCTTTCCATACCACATGAACATGAAGAACTCCTAAAGGAGTGGCAGAAGTTAAGTATGTACATTATGTAATGCAAGAAGCAGTTATGGAAGGCCCTGTTCCAATAGGAATTTTTCACAGAATACAGGAAGATTTGGCTCAGGCCATATTTGATTAAGGCTAAATCTTGCGTAATCTATGAGAAAATATACATTTTCAAAGAGTATCAGAACTAATTTTCAACAGGATTTTCTTAAAGGCAATAACAATAGACTTCAAAGGAAAAGAATGCTTAATTATGACACAGTTACAGAAAACGCTTCACAGTTTCCTACTTACTGTCAAAACTACCATGATTTGATTGTTTCCACAGAATAAATCCCACAGTATTTTTTTCATCTGTATTCTAACTTTTACATTAACTTTTCCTGGCTTCACATTACTTGCCCGTGTATCTGCAAAGAGCATGACTTCTGAGAAGACCCAAGAAAGATACAGTCGCTGCTACTTCACTGCACTGCTGAGAGACAACTGCTACAAACTCCTCAGTGATCTCATTGCAGAAAGAGGTAATTGGGACAGAAGAATATTAATCTCCCTTATGAATTTTCATGTAAATGGCAACACTTTCATTCAAACAATAGTCATTTATTTCATCCAGCCCAAACCACCTGGAATACAGGAAGCTGTATCTAGAACCTGCTACTTGAACACTGGTATTACATAGCACGTGCAACTGTATCCTTGAATCCAGGTGTATTTGGTATTCCAGTCTTTTCACTTCTAACCTGAAATATGCCCAAAGTTATTATACTTTGCACAGATGAAGCAATTACTTCTGAGACGGGTGATGGAAAAGACTCTGCGATGCTTTAGAAGAAAGAGCTCTGTTTAAGTGTAAACAGACCGTTGTTCCCCTTGGCTGTCCCCTGATGGGAAGCAGGATTACCGGGATGGCTGCTCCCAGGTGGACTACCTGGCAAGCCTGCTTTAGCAGCACATCCCCCAAATGCTTTCAACACCTGTGTCAGACAATAAGCACCATTCAAAAGCGAATGATTCTCCTTGGCTCATTGCATGGAAAACTTCACCGGTTACAGCGCAAGGTTTGGGGTTTGTAGTTCTGGTAACTTGACCCTCAAAAGAACTGTCAATAGAACTTGAATTCTGATGCAATGTAACACTGATCCATTAAATTGAGAACTGACTAATTCCTGCTTTGAGCCAGTGCAATTCTCCTTTAAGAAAAGTCTACTGCCCGCTTAACCATCAGAGGCCACTTTAAAATCCAGGTAGAAACACTCACCTGGATCCACAAGGTGCTTTCCAAATCTGAAAGGTTTGTTGATGAGGTTTTTTTCCCTTTTAATCTCCAAATTTTTCAGACAGGTGTTGTTTTCTACTAAGCTTTCTATAAATTCAACTTGACGGTGCCAAATGTTATTAGACTTCATTGTTTAGAATATATTTATTTTTTTACTATATGAATATGTCCAACTTAAGCTTGGAGCCTGTCCTAAAACTAAATGTTAAATTCCTAAGCAAATGAATGTTTTAATGGAAAGGCTGACATATTCTTAACTATGGGAGCGTGAATGGCTCCAGTATGAGCTTGCTCAAGTCCACATAGAATACAAATGCAATACAGGACCACAGGTTCAGATCTTTGATCTCCTTTTCTGCAGAGGCTGTGATGTATAAAGCCAATTCCACTGTGCAGACAGTACTACACTGAATATAAATTATCCTTTAACTATAGAAAGGCTCACATTTAAAGAAATGCTGAAAGGATGAACAATGCAGCCATGAAGCAGAGTTCTTCTGTAGCAAAAATACAGACCAAGATCTGCATGGATAACCATGGTTTCAAAAGACAAGATTTTTCCACAGCTGTTATTTGATTAACAATAGAGTAAATTCTGGAGTATTTGATATACAGAAGTACAGTTAAAGCACACTGCTTGCTCTTTCTAGTGAGCTAGGAGTACTTGCTTTACTGCCCAGATTAACCATCATTCCCCTAAGAGGCATAAAAAAATGATTTTAAAATGTGGAAACCAACAGTTTCCACTGAATATGGCTTGAAATTTAAACACATCTTTTCCAGATATCTCTTTAGAGGAAGAACCTTCTGCCTACTGAGCTAACACTAAGCTCCCTGGAGTTTAGCCATGAATACTCTAAACCCATCTCTTACAATTCATGAAAAGTTATCTTTTGCCAAAATAAAATGCTTAAGAGGAATTCAATATGCTTACCCTGCTTTTCATCACTTTATTTAAAATAACTGCTTCTATCTCAACTTTATGCCAAATATAAAGGAAGAGGGAGATTGAGTTGTGGAACTATTACCTCAGATTTTATATACAAATGGGAAAACAAATTACTTCTGAGAATATCAGATATTTGGCTTTGGTTTATTCTATATAATTTCGAATTTAACCAGCTCTTTTGCAGTTACACATAGGTACTGTTGAGCATTCTTACAAGAATTTCTCTGCTGTCTACATCAGTTATAACTTAGGTGCTTCCCAGATGTGGTACTTCCCCACTCCGTGATGTTTCTTTGTATGCCAACTTTGTTTGTGTGGGGGAATGTTAGTAAATAAATAAATAAATAACTTTGTTCGTTATCTTACCTCTTCTGACCTGTGTTGCCTGGCAGATCAATGCTACTTCCACTGCAGACAAGCAAAAAAGTTAAAATTTATCTTTCACTTAATCTTTTTGTTCTCTTTAGGCTTCCTTTCAGTAAGGTTTGAAGAAGGTGCTCTTTGTGGTTCAGTTCTCTATGCCAGAATGCAACTGAGCACAAAAAGAATGCAAGGGTGAGCTGATAGTATCTACTGTCCTCAGCTCTGCTTCGGTTCAATAAACTTGAACATCTTCTCCCCTCCTTTGCCAATTGAGATAAGCAGCAACAATTACTCAACATGTATTAGCAACTGAAGCTCAAAAGGCAGGATCAGCTGAGCCGACTCCATCTCTCCCAATCTCACGGTTTGCTTCACTGTCCGAGAGGGGCAAATAGGTCTCTGTTTGCCCCTTGACATGCACCTCACAGCTACTTCTTACAGGCAACTACACCCAGGTTGCAAAAGGAAAGTGCTTTCCTCACTGCCTGCAAGGTTTCTGCTTGTAGCCAGCAGGCTGTAAGCTCTGTGCCATGATGGCAAAAGTCACAAACGAGCCATCCTTCTCTTCCCAAACGATCACATTCTCTCCTTGCCTCTCTGTGTTCTCTCTCCTTGCCTTTCTGTGGTCTCCATAGCTGAAACCAAGAATTCACTGCAATGCCTCTACCCAATTCTAATTGTATCCAGAGCTTGAGTCAAATAAAATATATTTCAGCTTGATCTGGTTTTTATCCCATTCCAGTACTCCACATACACAGCAACTTTAAGCTTACAGACATCCCTTCGTGGTTCAAGAAAATCCTTCAATCAAAGAACTTCATTTACAATCCAGCATAGTTTTTGCTTTCTCGGCTCTCCACAGCAGCCTGGCATTTTGATGCAATCCTCATTTAATGCAATCTCCATTACAGGATTATGATCACATCAATAAAATGTTCCATATGTTTTTTTTTCTCATCCCTCTCCCTCCCTCATTAATAGTAGGCACTATATCTGCAAAAAACAACAAATCACACAGGCTGATGGGATGCTCTAGGGAGGTAGTGGGGGTACACATTCAACAAAATGCAGCAGCCAATGCAAACTGCCCATCAGAGACTGAGACCGTGGATCTCCTTATTCCTGAGCTATGCGAGTTGCTCAGTGTCCGCGCCGCGAGCACAGATCCTCGCCGTGCTGTGCTATCAGACTAAAAATAAATACAGCTTTTGCAATCACTTGTGAGCTCCGTGTACTTTGCATAGGAGCAGACTTTGATTTTACTTCATCGGTTCCAGCCTATCCATACTGTTCTGGATGAACTGGTTCAAAGGGGGATGCCGGACAAAAGATATCATATAAAAGGCTACAGAAAATCCCTCGTTTCCCCAAGACCCCTTCTTACCTTCAGCGCCTTCTCTGCACAAGCTGTGAATCTACATGGGCTCCTCAGCACATCATCAAGGCGTTTATAGTAGTGAAGGCTGCCCCACTGCATGGAAGTTAGACCGCTTTGCAACAGCAAATCCTCGATCCAAAGCACAAGCCGCTTCTTCCCATGCAGTGTGCCGAGCACGAATCACACACGACTTCCACATAGGGAATAAAATTGTAAAAGAAAGGGAGGGAGGGGGCGGGAGAAATAAAGGGGGGGGGGGGTAAGGTATCCTAACTTTTAGGCAACCTGAGTTTGTTTTATTTCTGTTGGGTTTAGTCAATTATCTCGCAGCAGCTGCGAGAAGACGGAAAGGCGAGAGGATGGAAACCCCGCAGAGGTCCGGCCGCGTAACCCAAGTTGCGCGGAGAGACCCCGAACTCGGAGCGGCTCCGCGGCGTAGCCCGGCAGCGCTTCCCGTCCCTTCCTTTCCCCGGCCGGGCGACTGTGGGCGGCGGAGCGCCGGCTGCCCCCGCGGGGCAGCCGCCGGCGCTGGGCGCTCGCCCGGCCCCCGGCGGGGCTGGCCCGGTGCTGGCGCGGCGGCCCTGGGCGCCCCTGGGGGCTCGGGCTGCGCTGCCGGCGGCGCCCGGAGCCAGCGCTGTCCCGGCGGCGGCGGCTCCGGCTCGGCTCTGCCGCGGCCGCCCGCGCCCCGCTCTGGCGCTGCCAGCCGGCCCTCCCCGCGGCTGACATCAGCGCCGGGAGGAGGAGCGACGCCGGGGACGCGAATAGCCGGACCGAGGGGGGTTCCCCCTCCCGGAGCCGCCCTGCCCGCGCTCCTCTCGGAGAATCCCCCGAAAGCGGCGGCGTGCCCGCTCCGCCGCCTCGCCCGGGGGGCGGCTCCGGTCCCCGCCCGGCGCCCCCCGCCCCGCGGTGCTGCCCGGAGGGCGGGTGCCCTGCTGGAGGCCGGGGAGCACTGGCACTCGGAGCGGGGCTGGAGCGAGGATGTAGCTCTCGCAGCCCGGGGCTCCGGGCAGCCCAGCGCCAGCGGCGCGCCCCTGCCTCCCCCGGCCCGGGCTCCCCGCCTGCACCAGCGCCGCGGCGGCGGCGGAGGAAGGGGCTGAAATGAGGGAGCCCCTCGAGCTCCTCGGCTCAGCCACGGCTAGGAGAGCGGCCGTCGCCCCCGACCCCGCCGCCCGCCCGTTCCAGGCTCGGCAGCGCCGCGGGTGCTCCCTCAGAGCCGCCCCGGCGGAGCCGGTGCTGGGAGCGGAGGAGCCGCCGGCGGAGCGGCCGCCGCGCTCCGGCTCCGCGGGGCCAGGCGGGGGGAACCGCGGAGGGATGAGGGATCGAGATCGGGGCTCGGGGCCGGCGATGCCTTCCCCTGCGGAGAGTGTTGGGTGCCCGGGGCGGGAGGGGCAGCGCGGGGCGCGCGTTCCGGAGGGTCCGCTTTGGGGCCGGGGCTCGGCGGTGCGGGAGACACTCGCGGGGGGGGTCGTGCCGCAACCTCGGACGGGGACCCGCTGCTGAGGGAGCAGCGTCTGCCTCGGGTCGCCCCCGGGCGGCCTCAGGTCCCCGTCGGTCCGGGGTGTCCCGCAGCCGGACCTCGCTCACCCAGAGGGGCCGCGGGTCGGTGGGTCCTGTCGGAGAGCGCTTCTCAGGGCGCTGTATCTGCGGGGAGGCGGGTGGTCGTGTCAGGGGGGCGAGAGCCCAGCCTTTGGCACGTCAGTGCGTTCTGTGTGCAGGGAGGGATTAGTGGTGGCAGAGTGAGGTGGTCGTGATGGTGAGTTCAGCTTGCGTGAAAATACAGTGTAATTAATAGTTAATTTGTGGTGTTGATTTTAATAATTTGAGTATCTTAAATTATTTGCAGTATTCTGCCAGATGCCTGCAGTAGGCATTTCTCAGTGAACACAACAATTATTAGTAAATAATTGAGTATTTTTTCTGTACTTGGGTGATGAGACAATTTTCAACTCTGCTGATGAAGAAAAGACATTGCACTTACCCTAGCAGCACACATTTTTCATGTCTCCTTATTTAAAAATAGTATGAAAGTGTCCATCTTTAAAAATAGTATGGAAATGTCTGAAAACCTTGTTTTACCTTCTTCACTGTAGCAAGATGTAGGTGATGCCTCACTTTTATCACTATATATAGTTTAAACGCCAGAATTTCAGTGAAATAAAGGTATATAAGTGAGAGGATGAGCGAGTTTTAAAATCAGCTTCTAGAAATCCCCAGTCATTCAGTGAATTGTCTTCATCTTACCTGTTAACTCATATATTCAATGAGATTCTTTGAATACGGACTCGAATTGAACAATTGCATGGCCATTAACCATGCTGAAATACTCCAGAACAGATGTAATACCTTTTCTTCTAGGTCGTATTTCCATATCGTATTTCAGTCTCCTGACTCTACCCACATGCCCATTGTATTTCACTTATACTGGGTGCTAAATTCTATGAACTTAGTGAAGTTGTGACTTCATTATTTTTGTCCCACATACATACAGATGGCAGAGGTGCCTTGTTAGGTACAAACAGAACATTACCCACAAATTAGAGTTCATGTCCTGGCTGCAGTGCAGCATGCTGCTGAGAGTAACACCTACCAGTCAGGGACACTATTTATCAACATTTCTGAACATATTGTAATAAAATGGGATATGAATAAATGACCAAAGAATAAAAAATAAAAGCAGTGTGCAGCTATGTATGTCTGGTTTACATCACAATGGTGGCTTGCAGATGAGGACTGGCTGTCAATCCTGTTAACACCTATTTGATTGAGCTGCCAAGGTGGGTTTCTGAAATTCTGAAAATCAGGTCCATTATAGACAACTGGATTTTACACCTAAGAGGCAATTGGTGAAGGAATTTCTGTCTATTGCTTGGACACTGCCATATTCTTGTCCTCCTTGCTTCAGAGTAAATTAAAATAAAGATTATTACTTCACAAAGAAATAAATACTGAAAGAAATTTGAACATTACTGGGAGAAGAAATGACCTACAGGATGGTTTGTCCTGTGCCAGAGCAATCAACTGCAATAGCATCAGCCATTCCAGAAAGGAAAGCGAACAGCATGTCTGGGGGGGATGACCCGTCCTGCTTTTCAAAGTGGTGTCTAAGGATAAGCTACAATGGACCCAGCAGTTCAGCCTCAACTGTGTTTGAAATACACAGCCAGAAGTCAAATTTGGTGAAAATTGTTATTTAATTTAAAAATAAACAAACAAAAAGGGTTAGGAGTAGATGGCTTATTTAACTGATATTGCAGGGTAACCCTGGAAATGGGCAAGAACCCTTTACAAACCAGAGCAGCTACATCATGAAAATGAAGAGTCAGAGTCAGATTAACTCTGTCCATGCAGAAAATGCATCACTTGGCTATGAACAAAACATGTTTCTTTCTATCAGAAGGTATTGCTGCTACCCTTGATTCAGATCAAGGTCTAAGTCCTGAAATTGTTTGTTACTCTGAGCACATGAAGAGGCCCCACAGGAACTATTCACATGTGAAAAGAGCTAGGACCAGAGCCAAAGTTTTGCATACTGTGAAGGTCAAGCTTGCTTCCTTTCTAAAACTTGCACTTAACAGACAAACTCTCAGTAAGATGGTTTCCACAGAGCACCTTCAGCTCATTCCTCAGGATGCTGCAAAAGCACCGTGGCTGATTTTGGGTGATCTGTGTCCAGCAGGTCCCTGTGACTTTGGGGCCAGGTGCTTTGCAGGCAGCTGCTGCCTTGCAGAACAGGGGCTGTCCCTGCCTTCCCCTGATTGCAGTTACTGTGGTTTCTTCTTCCCACAGATGCCAGCTTGTTTGTAAACTTCTCAAAATGTAAGGAGAGAAGTCTCATATTATACAACTCCTGGCATTACAATCATGGAAAAACCTGTTAATAAAAATGCACTGCTTGTAGGATGAATTTGCAGCATTTTTGCAAAGGTCACGTAAAATATATTGCTTGAGTAGCCTTCTTTGGTCACCAGATAAGTCATTGAGAGGCCACTGTAGATGACAACCACAAGGGAAGATTGTAATTCACTTTTATGTCTCTATGCAAGAAAATAAGAGACACAAGCCTTCCTTTTTGGTACTGGGAATGGGGTGTGTGTGGAGCCTGGTGCAGGGAACAAAGAGAAACTACTTTCACCAGCCTGACAGATAAGGTTGGAGGTCTTTCTCTGCTGAAGGCCTGACATAGTTCTACTTTGTTTCTTTTTTCCTATCTGAACAACAGAAAAACTCAGAAAACAAATTGCAACCACACTGTACCACATCTTTTGCTAGGGTTTTGCCTCGATCCCAAGTAAGACTTTTTTTCTCCATATATTTATGTAAACAATAGTTTCTTTCTCTTACTTTTTCCTCATCCCCATTTAATGGAAATGTAAAATAAATCCCACTTGGGTTTTTTGAGCACTGTTTTTCTGCTTTGCAATATTGGAAATTCCCAAGTATTACCTTTTCTGTAAGCAAGGTTTATCTCCATTGCACCGTGTTCCAAAAGTGCCAGGTGATCCTGTTTCTGTCTTTGCTAATGAACACAAACTGTGGATCTCTCTGAGTCCCACCCTTTGCATAGCTCTAGAATTACTGTGGCTGATTTTTTTTTTATTATTATTATTGTTATTATTATTTGTAGAAATATTACTTTTTGGCCAACAAACTTGAGTAACTTCAGGTCAAATCATTATGTCAAGTGAAATATTAACTAGAAATTACATAGGTATATTAAAACAACAACCCTAGAGCCACAAATTGAGATGAATTGTCACATGTCCATATGGAAACTACTCCTTCCATTCCAAGATGGGTGACATTATACACCTATTGCTAATATGCAAGAGGTTTAGATTGGATTATTTTTAGAAGGGTCTCAGTTTCTAAATCCATACATTTTTGAGGGAGAGCCAGGCCCCAGTGCTGGTTATCATCTCACAGGGGGCTGCTGCTGAAACCATTAAAACATGGAGCTTTGGAAGTCCGGTACCTGCCAGCGGGAGGTAGAACAAACTAATTTCATTATCAACTCTGCTGTCAAGTGACAATGTTTTTTAAATGCCATGAATTATGTATAAAATACATTAATTTTTATAGTGCGTGTTGGGAGTTCAGGCACGCACACCCAAAGGGCACAGCTTTGGCAAGGGCTGTGCAAGACAAGACGTCAGGTGGAGTTACTGCACAGGCAGGAGCTGGTGGAGCCAGTTTCCTGCTCCAGTCAGGAGCAATGATTTCCATGACAATACAAGTGAGAGCTTAAAATGACTTAAATAAGATAAAAATCACGCCGAGTCTTTAAGCTGGGAATTAATGAAATACCTGTCCTTGATAAGAGGAACTTGAGCAATAAAAATCTGCAGGACCTGTTCATTTAAATGCATTTTGTAAACGTAACAAGTTACGCTGTGCTGTTCTCTGCATCTTTAAGAGTGTCTGGGGATTTATGTCTTGCAAAATAAAAACAAACTAAGAAAGCTGAAAT